ATAGCAACGCACCAGAGGAAGAGGAGGAAACCAAAGACATCCAGGGAGCGTTAAAACAACTGTAAGTATATAACCCTGCTGAATGTTATAGTTATTACTTGTTGATAATTAATTAGAAGCGATGATTATAAATTAAAATAGCATTATTCAAATGACCCACAAACCTCTATTTGTGAATTTAAAGCACAATTCGGGGGTACAGGAGTGGCTAGCTGCTGCTAGCTTGAACGTACAGAACAAAACATTCTGATTAAAATGCAGATGCTCAAAAAGGCGGCTGCATTATGCTATTTGAAAAAAAATAATAAAATCAGCTCTATAGGCTATAACGTTAAATATTAAAATTAAGTGGGGGATGATGGAAATAGGTCTACATTTTTTATGATTTTTTAATTTAAATTAATTTAAATTTTTTAAGGTGCCATCATGCAAATCTTTGTCAAGACCCTCACCGGCAAAACTATTACCCTTGAGGTTGAGCCCAGTGACACCATTGAAAACGTGAAAGCTAAGATTCAGGACAAGGAAGGCATTCCCCCAGATCAACAAAGGCTTATTTTTGCTGGCAAGCAGCTTGAGGATGGGCGTACCCTCTCCGACTACAACATCCAGAAAGAATCCACTCTTCACTTAGTCCTGCGCCTCAGAGGTGGTATGCAGATCTTTGTGAAAACCCTCACTGGGAAGACCATCACTCTGGAGGTGGAGCCCAGTGACACCATTGAGAACGTGAAGGCCAAGATCCAGGACAAGGAAGGCATTCCCCCAGATCAGCAGAGGCTGATCTTTGCTGGAAAGCAGCTCGAAGACGGCCGTACTCTGTCTGACTACAACATCCAGAAAGAATCCACCCTTCATCTTGTTCTTCGTCTCAGGGGTGGCCAGGAAATGTGATTAATCGTGTTTATTTAATAGCATTTAATAAAAACATATTTGTATCTAAAATTTATGTTGATGTTGTTGTATTATAACTGTTCAACAGAAATAAAGATTCTTGTCTTTTGTAGTAAGATTTGTATTGGCCTACAAATAAAATACGTTGTTATTAAGAAGTACCACACTAGATGTCACTAGAGGTTCAGTTCATGATGTCAGACTGGTGTAAGTGCGATAATATCCCAAAAACTATATATATATATATATATATATATATATATATGTTTTGTTTTTTTGTGGGGTGAGGTTTGTTTTGGGATAAACACAGGTACACAGGTATGTTTTCTACAGGGTAAGAATTGTTTTTATTATAAACAGAGGATTTAGAGGGCACGTTTCATTCAGTTGTGTTTTTGTGTCACTAGATTCTGAATCTGAAGTTTATTTTTATTAGTTAAATTCTGTAGACCTAGTGGTTATATACAAAACAAAGAACTTTACAAAGAACATTGCTTCAGTAACAATGAATTAACAATGCAGCATTTATCAATAAGGCATCGAGTGCCATTTTCATTTTTTTAACATTTGACCCATAGGCCTGGTGGAAACAATGTGCAGCCTCCCCACACGTTGTGGGTCCATAAAACTGCTCGCCAGGTGAGTAGTTGAAATAAAACATCACAAAAGACCAATCAAGTCATGAGCTCAACATAGTCCAAGCGCAGAGGGTGTCGCTCTGCCCCCCTGTGACTTCACTGGTCAACCTGGTGCATGACAAGTGCGCACAGTACTTTTATCAGCTGACAGGCGACCGTCGCTGCTGCTGCCTCACTCGCTACAAGAATGGCAGCTCGTGGAGGCTTTTTCCTTTCTCTTCTCAACTACAAGACTGAGAAATATGTCATTGCAGAAAACAGGAAGATTGGCATTTTATTCCGCCTATATCAGCTGGCCGTACTGGGATATATAATCGGGTGAGAGAGGCATGTCCTTGCATGTGGCTAAAGTAAGGTTTCACAAAGTGATTCACACAGTTAAAAATAGTTGAAACGTGTGTGTGTGTGTGTGTCTTTGTTTTCAGCTGTTCATGTGCCGGTGCCAAAGTGCTGTCAGGATAGTTAGTAGAGTATTGGAAAAGTTACGGTGAATGCATTTATTTTAGAGTGAATATTGTAGCATTGTCCAACCCCTTACTCTGTGATGTCACTAGTCAAATGAAACCTGAGTAGGTGACTGTCACTTTATATACAGTCTATGGTGACTCTATAACATGTATTGACTTTGGAATAGACTTTATGTTCGTTAAAACGTCTTTTCTGTTATTGATGCTGTCTATAAAACATATTTAGCCTTCTGGAATTTGGAGCTCATACACATGTTGTTGTCAATCTATATGAGCCCACGCTTCTGCCCCTACTTAATGAATGAATGTTTAATATCCAGAGGTGTAATATAAAACAACGTGATGAGCATTGCTACGCTGTTAGTGAAGAATGACTTGTTAAATAGGTTAAGATATGCTGCTGTGTGATTTGAACAGGTGGGTGTTTGTGGCAAAGAAAGGTTACCAGGAAAAGGAAGAAGCCATCCAGACCTCTGTCCTCACAAAACTAAAGGGTGTAGCCTTGACCAATGACTCAGACAAGGGACTTCATCTATGGGGGGCTGAAGACTATGTAATACCTCCAAATGTAATCACTCTTTATATATATTTTTCTATTCTATTGTCTTAATCACCTATAATCATGTCAGACATCTTAACTGCCTAATTAATTTAACCTTTTACCGTCCAATCTTATTGTCTGCTCTAATTCTAATTTACAGGGTGAGCAAGTGTTCTTTGTAGTAACAAATTATATAGAGACTCCTAATCAAAGGCTGGGCTTCTGTCCCGAGGTGAGCTCAAAGAACATTGTGTATTGATATTTTTATTATAACATATTCAAATGCAGTTGTCTGCTCTGTTTAACTCAGAGTGACAAGGTGCCAGATGGAAGGTGTTCGAGTGATGATGATTGTGTGGAGGGAGAAACTGTCATAGCAGGGAATGGTAAGAACACAACATTATAGATTATATTATAGCATTTATGATATTAGTACATGCAACTCATTATATTCATGGTACATGGTACATGGAATTTTCTGACCTGCAGCAAATCATCTTGATCATCCATCCCTAGTTGGAATTGATGAGCTTAAGAGTAAGACAAAGTTCAAAGTAACTATAGTAGTTAATGTTTACTAGTAATTTATTTTGGGCTGGAGGTAAAATATCCACTGTGTACTTTTTTAAAACCAAAAACACACGTAAATAAATGTATGTTTTTGATGTTTTTATTGCTCTGAGAACTGTGAAAAACATGTGACTTTACTGTGAGTTGACTTGCATCTCCACAAACCTGACTCCTGGCCTTGGAGGAGGGCCTCCCCCTGCTTATCTCCATGAAAATTTGAGTTCCTTTTGCTATAATATAACATACCTGTATTAATGGGAAAAGTTCCAAAGTATGCTTTATCTATCTATTTCCATGGAATCATGCAATCACATGCTGCTCCAGAAAATGTTTTTCCTGTATTTGTAGAAAAGGGCATAAAAACATTGCCAAAAGAGTGTTCCTGCATGCATATTGGTAATTACAAAACCTAAAACCTGATTTGCCATATGTCAGAAAATGCACAGCCTTATAGATATGACAGTAGATTTGATTGTAATTCTGTTTTTGTAGGTATCAAAACAGGTGTGTGTATAAACAGCACTGGGACATGTGAAGTCCACGCATGGTGTCCTGTTGAATACAGCCCCAGACCCCAGTGAGTGCTCTGTCATCATCCTTCTCATTCTGTGCCTCCACTTTTACTATGCACTGTGCCTGACAGCTGCTCTTAGTTTGGTCACAGTGGCTAAGCTCACACATTACAACATAATATACATAATAATATAAATAATTACATAGAGCAGTAAATAAATAGTAATACTAATGGTAATGGTAATTCCAAATAATTCAAGTTGCAAAAATAGCTAAAGATGGTACAGTATACAGATATTTACTTGTACAAGTCAAATAAATCATAATAAATCAACAATATACAGTATATAAGCTAGGTACAAGCTAAGTGCAATCTACCACTTTGTGTTTGTTTAATAATCACAGCTGTGTGTTCCATTGTGTGCCCCTTATTTTTCAGAGAGCCATTACTGAGTGCAGCCGAAAACTTTACCGTCTACATCAAAAATTTCATCCGGTTTCCAAAGTTTGATTTCTCTAAGTAAGTGGTTTTGCTGCTGAGCACTAGTGGTTTCAAGGGGCCAAGATTGCAGAGTGAACCAGGGAATATATGCTTTGACGGCTGCTGTAAATAGCTGTAAGGGTGCTAAGCAGGCTATATTTACCAACCTATGCATTGCAATGGTGAGACAGTGAAATTGTCATCTGAGACGTCCTTGACTGAGAGCCTTGCCCTGGACAGGTGTCAGATCAGATGGGAATTGCAGTATACTCTGTCCAGAAAGCACTTTGCTGTCACAAGATAAACAAATTTATCAGTCAGGATCTTATTGGAATTACACAGCTTTGTGTCATGTGTTTCTTCCTAATCAGTGTAACGTGGTGCCTAATGGAGATTAATATGTAATGTGTAATAGCAAAGCAAGGGTCAGTTTACATGGGAACAAAATACTCTCACACCAGCTAACAATCAGGCCAGAGTTTGATGCAAAGCAAGGCTGCAGAGCACAGGCTGATTTACATAGCATGCAATTCGTACTGCATAAGTCTCCTGGTTAAATCATGAAACTGTAGGTACAACAACAATAAATAAATGAGGTTAAGTCATTGTAATTTGGCCAGTGTAATTTCACCAAGGCACCAAGTGAATTTCACCAAGGCACAGTTGCCATGTTGCGGGGCAATAACCGCTTCCGCCATCTGAGTTAAAGTTTGCATTTGTTAACAAAATGGACTTTGTTAATATGAACTTGTTTGAATATGGCTATATTATTTTTAGAGACACTGTAACTACTATAACAGGCTGACCTCATTCTGACATTAAATACAATGTTGGGAGTTAGTTTTTGAGTTATGGTTTAATCAAAAATATATTTGTGTTTGATAAATAGTTGTATGGTTTAGTGAGTATAGCCTTGTGTTGAATGTTATGCTAACAGTGTTGTATGAGACAATGGTTAATGAAGTTTCAAATTCTTTAGATCAAATGTGCTGGAAACTGCAGCAGCCAGTTACCTGAAAAACTGCACCTATGACAGTGAGTCTCATCCATATTGTCCCATCTTTCGTTTGGGAAATCTGGTCAGTTGGACAGGCAATGACTTCCAGGAAATGGCTGTAAAAGTAAATATCTAAACATTTACTTACTAATAAAATAAGTTGTTTTAGTAACACATGTGGTTGCTCTGTCAGGGTGGCTCTGTGGGGATTCTGATTGAGTGGAAGTGTGACCTGGATAAGGACTATTCACTGTGTAACCCACAGTACAGCTTCACCCGCCTCGACATGAATATCAACAATTCAGTCACATCAGGATACAACTTCAGGTCTGACACGACAAGAAATGTAATCTTTAATGGCCTGTTGTATTAGACTGTAAAGTAGATACTATGTCTCTGCAGATATGCCAAGTATTTCAAAGATCCAAATGGTGAATTGTATCGCACTTTGTACAAAGTGTATGGGATTCGCTTTGATATTATGGTCAATGGCCAAGTGAGTAGCACATTTCCTTGAACATCTCATGGACTGTTTTTAGTTCATTGATATTTTCGATGCTGTTTTATATTTTTCAAGGCAGGAAAGTTTAGCATTGTCCCCACAATAATTGCTATTGGCTCAGGTGTTGCTCTTGTAGGCGCTGTGAGTAAATTCTCTGAATTGTTCCGGTTAATATCACTGAGTTTATTATTTGAAAGAATAGCCACGGAATGGTATGTTTGTTTGTTTCAGGGGGCCTTTGCTTGTGACATGATACTACTCTATATGATGAACACCAGCTCTTTTTACAGAGAAAGGAAGTTTGAAATTATCAATTTTAAGTAGGAATATATCAAATATATATATACATTTTTTGCCAAATGTTACCATTGTGTTAGTCATTATTATTTCTACTTTGTTAAAGGAAAGAACGTCAGAAACCGAAAGATGGGAAGGACAGCAAGGATGGAAAAGATTCAAAGTCACACTCACACCGTGAGCGAAGATCTAAAAAGTCTTCAGTGGAGAAAGAAACATCCAATTCAATCACACAAGAAGATGAGACTGGAGCGGTGGCACCAGAGAGCCAGAGCTCGTCCGTGGAGAGGCGAGGACCCACTATTCCTCGCAACACTGGACAGAGATACTCTGCTCTACTGTCACCAGGACCAGACCAGAAGCATCATGTCAGCTTCTCTCCACGCTTTTGACTGTTTAAAGCACTGGTTTAGTGACTTACCAATGGTGTCATAGCCAAACTTATAGGCAGCATCACTAATGCCATGTCAGTACTCTGATTGGCACATGGGGAGCTGTACTGCTGTAGGGATGAACCCTGTTGTACAGAACAGCTTTGGCTGTTAGTGGCATTAATGACAAATCAGCTCTTTATCTTCAGAGCCAAATGTCAGCATTGTGATGCTGCATTCATATTTACAAACTCTGATACAAGGTAATCACCTGGCTTCCTAAAATTAGACTGGCCACAAGATGTGCTGAGAAAAGATATGTGCAAAAGACAAAATTAACATACATTTACAGATAACAATTAGATCATATCTAATGTTTCATCTGAAAGATATGTAGAACCCTAATTGTTGTGATAAAATAGTTCATTTCAGGAGATTGTTGTTCCTTACAGGCAATTTAGTGATAGGTAAATTACCCAATTTTTATTCAAGCGTCTTTTTCCAAGCCAGAGGTAGGATCTTCAGAGTTTTTGAGAATGCATGAATGCAGAGAGTGACCAAAGAAATCACAAAAAATGTAAATCAATAAGTCAAACGTAGCAATGGGTATATACAAATCTACTTGAAATTGTTTCTGAGCACGTTAAATCAAAAAAATATAATATACCACTGTGAGCTTGCAATGTCTATAATGTTGAAAAAACAAATGTGACAGAGGAGCCTAATGGACAAATGTAGTTGTTTAATTTTTAATTTATTTAAATAATCATAATATTTGTAAACTATGCTTCAAAGAGAAGTAATCTGTTACTACAAATGTTATGTGGTTTTTACAGTATTATTCTCCAGATATAATGTCACTAAATTTATATAAGGACATACATTTGACAACTTCATTGTCCATACATTGACAGGTATAACAGAGCATATGTTCAGTCCAAATTGTAAATCTAATTTAACTACTGGGTTATTTACTAACAAGAACAGAAGACAGCATTGTGTAAATTTATGAGGTTACATTTGCGTAAGCTACTCTAATATACATGCACCATTCCATAAAGGAAAGTCCAAAACAGGATGTAGGTAAAGAGCCCTCCAACAAGGCCCCCAGTGAAGAGCAACCGCCGTGACTTGAAGCATTTGTTCCATCTCCGTCCAGCCTTGAGAATGAGTAGCAGAGAGAGGAGAAATGAAGCCAAGAAATAGAAGATGAATCCATAGAGTCCTGTTAAGCCCAAGATGCCCGCTGTGGCTCCAGACAGGGCAGACACAGAGGTGCGGCAGTAGTCCAGAACTGCGGCATTGCCCCTCACTGAAACTTCACTGATGAACTGTGGCCCCTCTCGCTTAGCTACCACTCCTGCCATCTTGGGTCTTGTCAGAGAATCAGTAGATGTCCTGAAATAAGGAAACAAAACCACTCAACTGAATTCAATATACATTTAGCTTTTCTTGAGTGTACGTGGGGAACCACATAGCCTATGGTATGTTAGAGCACTGTTCAGCAAAAAATATGTTTTAGACTTTAGCGTTTATAGCAGTTTTAAAAAGCAAATGTTTAACCATACTGGGTCAGGTGCAAACACAGAAATACTCATAACAATGGTTGTTAACAAATCTTAATGTGATACCGAATGGTATGAGGCAAAGGTTTGGTCAACCACATCAGACCGCAGATATATGCAATATATAAACGTTTGATTGTAATAAATACAATTAAACTGAAATCAAAGAAGAGGGCAGTTAATAAGTAAGTACATAAGACAAGTAAGCAAACATCTGCGAAAGCAGTCAAAGGCAAATAAAAGTATAGTGTATTTATAGACTGCTGTATTAGCATTGCAACATTCGGTGCTAGCGTGTTAACTTGTCGGAGAGCATACTAAAGATACTTACGGAATATTACTGCAAAAATGCTTGTCACTTTATCAAATCTAAAAAATCATTGTTAAGAAAAAAAAATCTATGAAAAATAAAAGAAAGAGCGCTGCAGGTTTAATTGTATCGTTTAGCGTCGATCATTCATACATTTGGTGACACTCCTCTAGAAGTCGGCCATTCCCGTTCGCAGAGCATCATGGGAACATTCAGAGAGCCATGGTGTGTTCAAGCACCAAAGAGCGTAGTAAAAAACAAGTTTATTCACAATCTACTACGTGATTGCTGATATGATTTAATATTAGAAGCAGGGGATATCGTAGTCGAAGAGCCACTCTGCCATGAATCAACTGTACGCCTTACAAATCTGAACGTGAAATATTATTAAGAGTCAACGCAGCAATGTAAATGATTTCCTATAGCAATTGAGTGCATCGTCGACTTTGTTCATTTTTATGATGGTGCACAGCAGTCGTTGTCAACAGGCATTTTGCAGTTTCATTGGCCGTTATGTCTACGTATATTCTTGGTATAGACTTGGGGACCACCTCTATTAAGGTAGTTTTATTAGAATCTGGCACCAGAGATGTGGTGGCGAGTTATTCCATGCAAACCTCATCTGATATAGTAGACAGCAGTGGTATCAAGGTGAGCTCACGTCACACACCGTTGCTTACTTCACTTTATGTACAAATGTGAGTAATAATTATGCTGTTAATCTCTGTACAGGCAAACGAGCAGGATACTGGTCGAATAATAGACACCCTGAATCAGTGCATCCAAAAACTGCCCGCTGACAAGTTAAAAAATGTCACACGCATTGGGCTCTCAGGGCAGATGCATGGGGTTTTGTTTTGGAAAGCTCGAAGTGGTAAGTGGAGCTGCGTTAATTTGTTTATTTAGGCAAATGATAGTTTGTGTGCCTTTTTTGTTTTGTTTAACTCCTTAATTCCTATTAAACGTATTGAGAGTCGAAGAAATTCAAGGTCATCAACTGGGCAGTATTTTATTATCGTAATTAATATATATTGCTGTTCAGTGGGTCGTTAGAAATCGAATACTGCCCTCTACTGGTTTATAAGCTCTATTGTACGTCCTCTAAATTTTCATCTTGTAGGTTGTGACTGGTCCAGAAGAAACTGCTTCATTGCCAAAGACACGAGTCAGCTGATCACCTGGCAGGACAGACGCAGTGACAATGATTTTATTTCCACTCTTCCAAAGCCAAATTCACATCTTACTTTGGCCACTGGCTTTGGGTGTGTCACTATTTTCTGGCTCCTCAGACATAGGTCAGTTGACTCAGCTCATCTCCAGATAACAAATTAAATTAATAAATTTATCATTATTATGTGTTTGCATTACTTATTATTCTATTATTTTTTTAGACCCAAGTTTCTAGAGGAGTTTACGTCCGCAGGGACCATCCAGGACTACGTAGTGTCCATGTTGTGTGGTTTAGAAAGATGTGTGATGACGCCTCAAAATGCAGGCAGCTGGGGTTACTTCAACACCTCAACCAACCAGTGGAACCTTGAAATGCATGTGATCTGCTTGTTGAAAAACTATTCGCGTTTATTACTAACGGTGATAATGTTTTATTATTATGACCATGTGCCTAGTCAAAGCCACATGGATCCAAGGCTTAATACTGACATTTTGACCACTGTAACAAACCAGTTTTAAAAAGTTACCAACCCCTTATCTTATTAACCGGAATTGAGCACACAATAAGCTCTAATAAATGTGAATTTAGTGTATATTAAAGAGCCCATATTGCTGTATTTTCAGATCTGTGTTATAAGGAGGAGTCTACTTCTACTACTACCAATGAGTACTCCCCTATTAAAGGTCCCAAATTAGGTAAACATTGACTATTGTGAGCTTTATGCCATGTTATTATGCTGTTACCTCATCACAAACATACCTGGAGTTGTGTTAAACAAACAAACCCTGCATATTTAGGCTGAGTTCTTCTCTCAAATAGAAAACACCCTGTACCACTTTGTCATGTCATGTGGTAATACAGTGCTCCACTGTGTTTTTAAACTCCATACACCTTCAATCTTTACTGAACTAAAGGCAAAAGGTAGGTAAATGTCTTAAAGCTCACAAGAGTTGGTATTGTGCAATATGGGACTTTTAATGTGGGAATACTCATTAGTAGCAGTAGACTCCTCCAAATGTAAAGCTGCACATCCAAAAGATAAGAAATAAAATACAGTACTTATTTAGTATTTATAGAATTGTATATAAAATACCAAAATCATTATTAATTTCATGTTTGTAATGTTGTTTAACATTATTGCCTGATTGCTGTTTTTAATACTTCTTGAATGGAATGTTGTCTAACCTTCATGTGCATGTCGTAGTTTGGAGGCTGCTGGCTTCCCTACACACCTTCTCCCTCAGTGTATACCTTCTGGGGCATTGGCAGGACATACATGCATGGACTGGCATGGCATTAGTGTTGGGACCCCTGTAGGAGCTGCTCTGGGGGACTTTCAGTGCTCGGTCTACTCCTGCATGAATACAAGCACAGACGCAGGTGAATGAGAGACTACATTAAGTTCTCAAACATATTATGGTCAATCATCATTATGCCGTTACTTATCTACGCACTGCACTCTCTTCTTGTTTCCTAATACCGTCTTAGAGCTACTAATGTATTAATGGGAAACACTACATCAGCAAAGTAAAAACTAACTGGAACTAAAACAGAACCACAAAATCTTTTGGTGTAACATGGTGTAACAAATAGAACTGAAAAGTAAAGTTTGTATTATTCTTGACCTGCAGAGGCTAAGGGTTTATTTTTAAGACATCCATAATTTTAGCAAACAAAAATATAACAACAAATAAATAAAACAGTTAAAAAATTATTCAATTGTTTCTGCTTTACTAGATTTCAAAATCTGTGTGAAATACTTTTACATTTTTCGCTTTAAGTGCAGGTACTTGGAATACTTTTACTTAAATTTTTGTGATACTTTTACTTGAGTATTTCTTTGCTCTAGTATTTGTACTTTTACTTAAGTACTTCCACCACTGCTTCTCACACATTTTATCTTACATTTACAGTTCTTAACATCAGTACATCAGCCCAACTGTCCTATGCTATGCCTCTTGGCTTTACACCTCCAAGTTCCACGCAATCAAGCTCACCCATCTCCTATGTCCCATATTTTGATTCATCGTATCTGGCTGTGGCTGCATCGCTCAATGGAGGGAACATTGTAGCCCTGTTTGTTGACATGCTCATGAAGTGGATGAGTGAACTAGGTAAGATATATACTGATGATTTGAGATGTTAAAACCAAAAAACAACGGTCATAAAAAATTCATTTCACACTGTGTAAAAAAGAAAATAAAGCAATAAAAAGCTCAAAAGTATGTAATGTAATGGTGAATGGACCTTAATTAGCCTTCTTCTTAATTAGGTCTTTTTGAACGTCTATACTGCTAAAGGAAATACCACAATAAACAAGAACATTGAAGACCAGTTTTTGACAATGGCTCAATAACCGTAAAGCAGGATAACCCCAGTGAACCCTTTTATAAGTGTATAATATATATATTTTTAAGTTATTTAAGTAACTAACTTGTAACTATTCTGTTATGAGTCAAACTAGAGCTGCACCACACCTCAAATCTATTAAAAAAAAAAAAAAAAAGACCCAACTTTGTAAATAAGGATTTGCTGTTAAGGGTTTACTTGTTAAAATAAAGGTTACATTAAATTAAAACATAAATAAATAAAGTGCATTGGTTCAACATTGTAACTTATTATATCCCAGATACAGTTATAACACTGGTGTATAATTGTTTGGAACATACAAAATGTAGAATTGATTTTGTCAACAATTGGTCCTTTGCTATAGATAAAAAACTAACCATTAAAGAGTTTTTTGTGTAAGTTTCTGAATATATTGGGCGATGTTTTAACTATGGTATAATTTTATAATGAATGGTTAAATAATCCAATAGAAACCAGCTGCATATCTTATCTTTGACAGGAGCTGAGATACCCAAGTCCTCCTTATATGAAAAGCTAATTGGTTGTGCACTAACTCAAGACACCAGTGATTTGACTGTGCTTCCCACAGTCCTCGGAGAGCGACACAGCCCCCTGTGCTTGGGACAGGTGACCCACATCTCTCCCTCCAACCTTTCTCTGGGTCATGTGACACGGGCACTCTGCCATGGCATCATCAGTAATCTCACCTCCATGATGCCAGTTGCTTATCTGCACCAAGCCGGGGTCACCAGAGTAGTGGGCAGTGGCACAGCTCTGGCCCGTAACCAGGTGCTCAGACAGGAAGTGGAGAGGGCCTTTTCACAGATGACCATTGAGTACGGACAGAACGCTGACTCTGCAGTGGGCGTGGCAATGGTGCTCTGTGACAGACTCTGAAAAGCTGAAATTACACAATATCAATCAGTATTAGTATAATTTGTATTGTTAAAATTCTAGATGAAATTTCACAGTAAAAGTTGGTAATTAAAATGCCAAGATTTAGCAAGATGTGAATGAAAATGAACTTGCATACTCATAGATTAAAATTTGAAATTATGGAAGAAATAAAGGTGCACTGTGTAACTTTTCTTGTGGTGGGGCTGATATCTGCTTTATTTATTTATTTGCCTAAAATATGAAACAGTATGGCATCAAAGTTATCTGTCTCCATGGATACAAACAAGAGAGACCACCTGGCCAAGTTACAGGTCAGATCTGTGCAGAGGCAACCCCGCACCCAGTATGAACACATGCTTTTACAAGTATGTTTGCGCAATAGAACAGTTGTAAAGTAAAAAATGCTACAAATATACCCATTTTATAACCTACTAACTTAAAGCAATAACATTTCCATGGGGACAAATAGGTGATGGACTCCTCCCAAAAGTTACATAGTGCACCTTTAACTATGTTGTTGTTTGACTTGATTACTATCAATGAAGGAAAACACTACTAACAACAATTCACATACAGCTTTATAACACAGGGGCCCACAGTGTTTTCTTGTGGCTCTATTTCGTAACCGGTTTCAGTGGCAAAGCGTTTGGGGAATAGAGCAAAGTTGAGATCTGGTGCCTCTTAAAGCTGTATCAACACTTTAAATCAAATTATACCATAACTCACATTTCCAAAAACATTAGTGTCTGAAATAAGAATCAGAAAGAAGTAATGAAGACTTTAGGACATATGTAGGACTGATCTTGTCATTTATTGATTTAGATTAAGACAAATAAATTAACTATTATATTTGTGTCACCATTCATTTGTGTAGCGCTAGTTTATATCCATAGGCTTTGAGCTTAATTTGTATCACTTTGCAGTTGATAATTCAGAGCATATTGGCCTATATTTTGACAATATTCCTGTACCAAGTCTTATCTGTTGTGGTGAACATCTGCTGTTTAAAAAGGAAGTGCCGCTCAGAGGAAACCATCTCTAACAAACGCATATATATATGGCACGAGGGTAGGCAACAACCTTGGTCACAAGATTAAGGCAAGACAAGTTTATTTGTATAGCATAATTCGTCCACAAAGTAATTCAGAGTGCTTGAATAAGAAATGCATTATAATCACAATACAAACAAATCAAAACATAAATAATCATCATATAATTAACATTAAAAGAGAAGAGAGAAGAGCGCTGGGAAACGGATTAAAGTGAAACCTGCAAAGACGACTGGGCCAACACTGAGTGAAAGAAAAGAATACAAAAACTCGGATAAGATTAAGGCAAGATTACTTTTTTGCTTCTTATGCTTAAGAATAGTTATATGTTAAATAAAGTTAAGAAAAATTAATTATTATTCGAATAACATGTAGGCATGCTTTAATCACTGCATTTCCTGTATCTTAAAGACATTGTGATATCTTGCTCTTTCTGCAATTGCCAATAAGGATCCTTTTAAGCACTCAGCTCTGTAATGTACGCTGATATTCTCTAGGGCGGGTCACACTATCTCCTCTGCTGCTTCCCTCTTCAGAAGTGTTATTTTCAACCAGCATCTCAGAGACACAGGTCTACTGGACTACTGCATATTTACGGTTACTGTCAGTAATGAGTACATAACAGAATTTATTTTTGTTTTGGAGCAAAGTCGACCTCGGGTGAGTCTATAATCAGTTCCTCTGAAATTGATATGATCTGTTACAGCCATTATTGTGTTCATGTTTGTGGATACCTCTGGGTTGTTTGACTAATGTACTGTGCATAATCTTTAACTGTTGTTTGTAATAGTAACAAACATATTCTGATTTCCTGTTAAAACAATGAAGCATGCAGAGATTGTAAGAGAGATTGTAAATCAATAGTTATAAATTATAAATCAGGACAAGATGTCACTATGTCCACTTAAGCGACGAAGAGCTGCATGCATTAGACTTGTGTTTTTTGGTTTGCTCTGTTGTTAATATCTACTATTCTATCATAAGATATGGTTACATCTTATTATGTGTAGGATTTATATTCTTCATTCAAGAAATATTGAGAAAAACAGACAGTGGTAAGTGAGTCACTAATTTCCCCTGCTGAAAAGAGGAAATGGCTCAAAATGAAAAAATAACAATATAAAAATGCATCTTAAGCTAAATTTTTCAAGGTAGTTTGTAGTAAATGCTCTTTATTTGTGTTAATTTTATAGCATTAGGACTGTCCTGCCTGAAGACTCTGTGTACTGCTGTCATAGGGATTCTCTTATAAATAAACATCTTTGTTTGTTGGCGTCTCTGAAAATCACATGTCTGAAAATATGTGCTCTTAACCCTCAGAGATCACTGACCTGTAGTAGACTGAATATGGGACAATCCTGTGAGGGTATTTCATTAGACCCAACAGTATAATTAAGCAATTGATAACACACTGTGAAAGCTATAATTACATATAGTACATAGGAGTGGGCAATACATAAAAATTGTTGTCTTTTGTTGTAAATTTAAATTTAAACAGTTTTTTTGTTTTTTACTATTGATTCATTTATGTTTTGTGTGATACCTGAACTTGAACCAAGTCTTTTAAAAGCACTTTTTAGCACATTCTTGATGGATTGTTTAAATATTGTCATTGATTTTAATTTTTGTCAATATCACCCACCCCTAAATAGTTATATCTTCTTCATCATGTTGTTATTGTTTCCCTTTAGTTCAAGATGAGCAAGACTGGGATGTTTGGCTTCCAGCTGGAGGCAGATGACAGAACAGAAGAGGAGAAGTCCAGACAAAGAGCTCTGTATAAAGATGGATCAGGGTCCTCGCGAGATCCCCCCAAAGCTCCTATGGACACAGACTACCAGGAGAAAATGGACCCACTCAAACCCCAAATTAGATTCAACCTGAATTTTGACAAGTGAGCAAACCCATGTAGCTGTATTGTAATTCTATGCTTTTTATATCTCCATTAGTCAGAGCAGCGGTTGGACCATTTGGAGGCTAGGGCTGAACCATTTGGGGACAAGAGCAGATTCTCCAACATTGTGATTAGATTTCTGATTTATGTTTCAATAATAGGATTCTGTTCAAAGATCACATTTAAATTCAAATTGCTATTTAGATTTGTTTGCGATATATCTTGCAGTCTGATTGGAGATTATATTGTATGTTTTTAGGGGAATCCGAAGATTGAGCAATAATAGTGATAACAGCGTCAACAATGACAACAGTGACAGCAGACAAAGGTTCACCAGAGAGATGCTGTTTGAGGCAGTGGCCAGTGGTGACGTCAGCCGATTGGATGGGTTGCATCAGTACCTCCATCAGAATATGAAGAGGCTCTCGGACAGTCTGTGTATGTAAACTACTATACTGTACCGGTAATAGGCATTAAGTGTGCATGTGTCTGCATTAGCTGTGGCTTGTATTCCACAGATCAATCCTATGGGAAAACATGTCTTATGAAAGCACTACTACACCTCAGAGATGGTAAAAACTTAACAGTGGAGCTTTTAATCGATATCTCTGAAAAATTGGGCGACATCCACAATTTTGTGAATGCAGCCTACACAAATAGCTACTATAAAGGTGAACAATTTTTAAACTATTAGTGTGCAATGGATTTTATGTTGCAAACAGTTCAATAATGTCTGATCTCTGGCAGGCCAAACAGCCCTGCACATTGCCATTGAGAGGAGGAGTGTCTCATATGTGCAGCTGCTGGTCAGTAAAGGAGCCGATGTTCACGCTAAGGCCTGTGGGAAGTTCTTCCAACCACATGACGGACCCAACTTCTACTTTGGTGAGTGTCCACCATAAGACTGCTGACAGAGACTCATGTGACCGCAGACTGACACACACTGTCTGAGTTACTGTGAGGAAAATATTGTTTTGTTAAACATAAACAGGGAAGTAATACCATGGTAACAAACATCAGGAACAAAAAAGTAAAGAAAAAATGAAAAACAAAAAGGACCTCCTTTTTAAGTGCTGTTGACAACTACTTACTTATAATTAATCACTTTTTCAATTGGTATTTAAGATAATTACTTTACCACTATTTAACATGAGTAGCATCTGTAAAGTAGCTACTAGAACACAAAAATTTATATTTTCGTCTTTTTTTTAACACCTTTAATTTATCTTTTTTCGTTATTTATTGAAAACATCTTTATGCTCTCATATATCCAACCATATCTGTGATTTCACCTTTTTTCTCATATTTCATATATTTTCTCATCTTCATCTACCATAACAGGGATGCACCGGCGCTGACACTGAAAAATTTGCTGGATCGGATATCAGTTTCTAAATTTTGGTTCAGCTGATATCCTGGTTGGACATATAATCGATGTAATAAGACTATTTACTGATTGTAGTTGGCCCAGAAACTCATGATGTTTTTTTTTTGTTTGTTAGTTTGTTTTTTTAATACAAAGTTGTTCTTTAGTAACTTGAGGGATTAATTAGAGCTACATAATAATTTTGAATCAATTCTGTCTCATTCTACTTTTGTTTAAAGGAAATAAATGCCGTTTTCAGTCTCTCCACCAGTATCGGTTGTAATCAGGTTTTGGCAGATACTTAAAGTTATAGTACTGGAATCCATATTGGAACTGAAAAAGCTGGATCAGTGCATCTCTATGCCACAGTACACCAAATAATGAAAAATAACCAAAGCTGTGAGTGTTTTGAATTAGAGGGAATTACCATGGGGAAATTAATAGAAATAATAAAATATATACAGTATATATAAATAAATAAATACATAACCTGGCCAAATATAATGCAAAAACACAACGAAAAGTTTAGCAAAAAAAAGATTAACAAAAAAATACTAAGCGGTTGTTAATATATCTTTTCTCATTATTTATGAAAACATGTTTTTTCCTCATCAAAAACATACCTGGAGTGGTGCTTTTTTCATTCACAGGTTTAACATACAAACCCCGAATATTTAGATTGAGTTTCAACTGTGTTTTTGAACTCCATACACCTTCACTAGAATCATTTAGATGGTTTCCCACTTGGAATTTGTAGAGTTGAACAGCAGAAAAATGCACAATTACTCAGACATGTGTGAATGAAACAAAACACAACTCCAAGTATGTTTCTGATGAGATAACAACATTATAACACAATTTAAAGCTTACAAGAGTTAATTTTGCATAATATAGGACCTTTAAAGCTCTTATATTTTTCATCTCCATCAACCACAATACAATACAATATTTTATAATCCAACGCTTTTCATTCCCAGGTGAACTGCCCCTTTCCCTGGCAGCCTGCACCAACCAGCCTGAGATGGTGGACTTTCTGATGCTGAACGAGTATAAAATGGCTGACCCTAAAGAGGTGGACTCTCATGGGAACACAGTGCTGCACGCTCTGGTCACTATCGCCGATAACTCCAAAGAAAACACAGAGTTCATCACCAGCATGTACGACCGCATCCTCAGGACCACCGCCAGCCTGCAGCCAAAAGTCAAACTGGAGGATATAGAGAACCACAATAAGCTCACTCCTCTCAAAATGGCTGCCAAGACTGGAAAGATAGGGGTAAACTGTGTAGTATTTACTAATCACCCCTATTAGCCTCCAATCTTCTAATCATCTGTCTACATCTTATCCAATTATATGCATCCTTAACTATCACACAGATCAAGTCCCTTTTTCTCTGTATCCTTAATCTTTCTCTGGTATTTGCACATAAGTAAAATCAACTTTTATGTTATCATCAGTAGTTTACTCAGAGATGTATTTTGATTGATTCATGCATGTTTGACGAACCCTGTGTTGTCCTTCATTTGAGATTTGAGTGCTTAAAAAATTTCTGTTTTCACTTACCCCCTATCTCTGTCCGCTTCTCTACACAAACATTTAAACAAATTCTGGTCAGACATGTAGGGTTCAAAGCTGTCACATAGCCATTTAAAATAATACAAACTTGCAATGGTGAAATGCCACAATGAAGAGGCGGTGCTTCTCAGCTCTGCAATTTGAACAGGAAGTCAGTCACAGTTGTGGTTTATAACAAATAAAATAAAAATTGCCTCAGAAATCTATCATAGAAAATTGCCAGAACCTTCTATCTATCTTCTATCTTTCCATCTCTCTCCTCTGTCTCTTTAATCCTACATACACTAACTGCAAACCTTATTATCAATTGCACTCTACTTAACCATTAATCTTTTGTTGCAGCTTTTCTCTCACATCCTGAGACGAGAGTTTCATGAGCCTCACACCAAACACTTGTCTCGAAAATTCACTGAGTGGGTTTATGGTCCGGTGCAAAGTTCCCTCTACGACCTTAACTCTGTGGACTCCCTGGAAAAAAAGTCTGTGCTGGAGATACTGGTCTACGGCAATAGCATTCCAGTTAGTATCAATATTTGAGTGTAAACATAATCACTAATTGTACTATGCACTTACTTTAGAGTAGGACTACAGGTAAATCTATGTTAAAGGGCTGTATTACACTATTTTCTGATCTATGTTATAATGTTTCCTCATCACAAACATTCACACATGTTTAATACACAAACCCTGCATATTTTTCTCTCAAACCGAAAACACTGTCCCACCTTGTGATGTCATGTGGTAATACAGATGTGCTCCACTGTGTTTTTCAACTCCATACACCTTCACCAGAATCATTTCGATGATTTCAGCCCTGGAATTATCAATCTCTACTGAACTAAAGGTAAAAGGAGTTGTTAACTTGAAAACTACCACTTCATGACATCACAAGTCGGAACGGAGCATTTTGAGATGCAGACAAACTAATAATTCAGGTTTAGTCAAACATGTATGAATGAAACAAAACACAACACAACTCCAGGTATGTTTTTGATGAGGTAACAACATTATAACATTGATCTTAAAGCTCAGAGAGTCATGCATACGTAATATAGGATCTTTAATCTACAGTAATTATTCAGATATTATAAGACAATATAATTTTCTAATTTTTTTTCGTACCACATTTTGACATGCATAGACACATTAAATATGATGACTTTCTCTTTTCCAAAATTTATTAATTTATTTGGTTCATCTTCTCAGAATCGTCATGAGATGCTTGAGACTGAACCTTTGAATCACCTGCTTGATGAGAAGTGGAAGAGATTTGCTGGAGGAATGTTTTTCTTCAATTTTCTGGTCTATATGATGTACCTGATGGTTTTCACAATTGTGGCTTATAATAAGAAGGACGGCCCTGTAAGAAACAGTATATTATAACAGAAAATACTTATAATGACACATTAATAATTCTTTGAATGTCCCTATCTACTTTGCAGCCCCCGTTTCCTATTGAGAACACATTTGAAGGATATCTGTATATTGCAGGCCAACTGCTGATAGCACTAGCAAACTTATTTTTCTTTGTTACAGCTGTAAGTTTAAATATAAATAATGATATTTTTATTAATCTATTAATGATAGCATTTACACCTTTTCTTATTCTGTAGATTATAGAAATGAAAAGGAAGAGGCCAAAGTTAAAAACATTGCTTATTGATGGATATTATGACATTCTTTTGTAAGTAGTGTGGTATCATCTTTCAAATGATTTGACTGCGATTTTGAGGTTTACTTGCACTGTTTACTAATACTGATTTATTGACATGTCATGTGAAATTTTACTTCAGCATTATGGGGAAATGTTTTTTGTGTTAACTAAAAAATACCTCAAAATGAATGGGTAGTTATCACCACAAATGCACTGTATGCCATAGTAATGATGATGCGCAGTTAAGAGAGTAGCCCTGTTTAGTTCTTGTCATGTCAGATTCAATGCCCATATTTGTAACCAGTGTTGGGGAGTAACAGATTACATGTACTGGGATTATGTAATCAGAGTACAAATTATGAGTAACTGTATTCACTTACAGTTACTGTTTCAATGAGAGGTAATTGGATTAAAGTTACTTTGTTGAAAGAAATTGATTACAGGGCAGTATTTTCCTGTTTTCACAGTTTGGGCTAAACCAGGACTAAAACCAGGACTAAACCAAGACTAAACCAGGATTAAACCAGGTCTAAAACCAGGACTAAACCAGGACTAAAAGCAGGACTAAAACCAGGACTAAACCAGGACTAAAAGCAGGACTAAACCAGGACTAAAAGCAGGATTAAACCAGGTCTAAAAGCAGGACTAAAGCAGGACTAAACTAAAACTAAACTAGGACTAAAACCAGGTCTAAAACCAGGACTAAACCAGGACTAAACCAGATCTAAACAATATGACACGTAACAGTAGGGTGGACATAATTGAAGGCAGCAGTGATCTCATATAAAAATCATGTTTCTATCAGGATGTGTTTGCTACATTCATGACGTTTTAAAAAGCATGACAATATCATGTAATCCAAAGTATTCATATTACGTTACTCACTTTAAGAAATTTAATGGATTACGTTACAAACTACATTTTGGGGTATGTAATCTGTAATCTGTAGGGGAATACATTTTAAAAGTAAACTTCCCAACACTATTTGTAACAGACGTGTGTTTGGTTTAGTTTCTCCCAGGCTGTGCTGTTCCTTGTTGCTGCAGTCCTGTATGTCGGGGGGAGAGATGAGTATCTGGGCTTTTTGGTGCTGTGTCTTGCTCTGAGTTGGGTCAATCTGCTCTACTACTCCAGAGGAGACAAGCACATGGGCATCTACAGCGTCATGATCCAGAAGGTACCACATTTCCCTTGTCACTTATCCAGATCTGAATAATATTTTATTATTGCTTGAGGAATGTGCAAAAATGTGCTTGCAAATGTCATGTATTTCAAGGTATTTCAAAAACAGAAATGGACCATAAAGGCCAAAAATGTAACTTTATATTTGGAAGATTATATGTTTCTGTCTATTTTTAGATAATTTTTAACAGTTTTAACAATAGATGGTATAATAGGGTTGTCAAAAGTATTAAAAAAATCAGATACTAATCAATATCAAAACTAATATTTAAACTAGATACTAATTTGAGCAAGAATCAATACCAAAAATGTGACATTTTTAGAACAGAACTTTAGAATGATCTCAGACTATATCCGAGCAAGTATAAGACCATGTAAACTAGTATTTGCCCATCGACGATTACACAGATATAAGGCTACATGATAATATAAAGCAAAGCGATTTTATTTTTAAAATTACATTCTATTGTCTAAATAAAGAAAAAAAAATCTGAATCAGTATTGAGTATTGAGAAAGTGAGTTTAAAATTTTTGTATTGTGACAGCACTATGGTATACTGAATATTCTATTTTTGCATTTCTTGTGGTCTGTTTTAAAAGACCCATATTTCACTATTTTCTGATCCATGTTATAATGTTTTTCCTCATCAAAAAATACGTAGAGCTGTGCTGTGTTTCATTTGCACATGTTTAACCTGAAACAGTCTCTGTCTACCCTGTGATGCCATGTTGTGATACAGGAAGCTCTTCATTGTGTTTTTAAATTGCCCATCTCTACTGAACTAAAGGTAAATGGAGCTGTGGAACTTGAAAACTCCTGCTTCCTGACATCACAAAGTGGAACAAAGCTTTGGATATGTAGACAGACAATAATAGAAAATAGTAAGAAAAGGGTTACTCAAACATGTGTGAATGAAACAAAACACAACTCCAGGTATGTTTTTGTGGAGGTAAACATTTTCTAACATGGCTTAAAGCTCACAAGTCAAATTTGCGTAATATAGGACCTTTAAGTATATTCACAGTACATCTTCACTTTGTTTTTACAGATGATTCTCAGTGATATTCTGCGGTTTCTGTTTGTCTATGTTGTCTTTCTTTTTGGCTTTTCTGCAGGTAATCAATTTCCTACATCACATAATGTATTAATATCTATACAACACGTTACTAATACAGTGCCTCTTGTTTCAGCGGTGGTCACCCTCCTCATTGAACCCCCTCCTTCCCCTGTAAAGAACACCACAACACAAAGGGGACGCTTTATGTATACTCCTCAACCGGCTGAAGAGGGGTTTACCTGTGTGAAACCCACCTTTAGGAACATTTCGTACACAACACTGGAGCTGTTTAAGTTCACTATTGGGATGGGGGACATGGAGTTCACAGAGCATTATCAGTACAAAGAGGTGTTCTACCTTTTACTGATTGGCTACATCATCCTCACCTACATCCTGCTGCTCAACATGCTCATTGCTCTCATGAACCGCACTGTGGAGAAGCTCACCGAGGAGACCACCGCCATATGGAAGCTGCAGGTCAGTCACTTAAAGCTGCACTGTGTAGATCTTAAAATAAGATGGATCTTATTTTTATGGCATAAAACAGATCCATTTTACAGATATTCAGCTACAGGTGTTTTATAGCTCATTTCAGATAATGTGGTTCCTGACAATTGCATTTATTTTAATAGTCAGCTTCAAGCAATTATTCTGGTGAATTGTGCTGTAATTGTTATTAACTGGAAAGTTGTTTTCAATTACGCAAAAGAAAGCCAGTACAATAATAATCCATTAGTCCATAAAGCCCCTTACAATTTCATACATTATTCATCCTTTCCCTTCACTCACCAGTAGAAAGCTCTTCTAGCCACAGCTGACCTAAGCTAAACTGCACACCTACAGCCAGTGTTGGGAAGTAACTGAATGCATGTACTGAGAATACATATTCTGAATGTTAATTTTGAGTAACTATTTCGGTGCAGTTACTTTTTCATTTGGTGATATTCAGAATACTGTTACTTTTTTAAAATAAAAGGAATAAATCGCAGTATTTAATCACACAATTTAGGCTTCAAAGTACACCGAATTATAGAGAAAATATAAAACCCAGCGATAAATAAATGCATAACAATTGGTGAAACAAACAAAGTTTTTTAATCCTATGTTGCATTTTTACACTGTAATATAATGCAATTTGATGTAAACATGTTGTAAGTATTTAGAATACAGTACTCTGTATCAGAATATTTTACAAAATACATTTTATTTCAGGTATTCAGTATTCTGTAACTAAATACATTTTCAGTCACTACCAATGACTAGTGCATTCACTCACACACCACATGCATACACTACATGAACTTGATGGGTGAAGTGTCTTATTGTAATAATTTTAATCACGTCATCGAGATCCAGTAATTTCAAAATGTTGATAAGCAAAACAATTAGTCAAATAAATCCCGAAGTTACCTTAGAGATGTATGTGCTTTCAGAGGGCTATGACCATCCTGGAAATGGAGAAGAGGCTGCCCTGTTGCTTAAAGAAGAAGTTCCGCTGTGGAATGGACAAGAAGCTGTGCACTGCTCTGGGAGATGACCGCCGCCACTGCTTTAGGTTTGGCACTACACATATCACATATATATCACATATACAGTTAGGCTGCGTTAACTCTACAGTCAAATTTGATTTCTTTATCCAAATGTGACCTGGGTTTGATTCTTGTCATAACTGCGTGAAGAGCCCAAATATGTTTTTTTTCTAATATAACACAGGCCTCTGTTGGGCCTCTCCAAAAAAATCTGATTCGGAAAAAAAGGGGATGGTGGCCAGAGCAGATGAAATAGTGCTTCTAAACTTCTTTTAAATGTGTGCAGAATTCCTCAGTCGTTCAGGTTTTCTCCTTTGCCTTCTGTTAAATCATATGAAATTGCTCAGTTTTATTACCTATCCACAGTTCTTTCAAACTGATTGTAAACTAAAAGCAAGAAGTTTATATGGATTTTTTTTTTTTTTTGGCAAAGGAAACACCGTTGAGACTCGTTCAATGCTGATGAAGCAGTGCAGTAGGTTTTGGCTCCATCTACTGGTTTGTTATAGGCGTATATAGACTTTTATTGTAATGTGGATGTTAGAACATTAACATTTAATTATATTTCAGAGAACACAAATGCTAAGTATTATGATTAAATGTCTAGATTCTTCTAGAATATAGACTTATAATTGTACCTCTTGCAGTGAGAAGTAAGCAGAATCAATCTTTAGGTGCCCTAAGTAGGTTTTCTGGTAGACAGTGCTATTGAAATGTTCCTCTATATGGAACTGCATGTATCCATCAGGCATTATTTCAATTTTAGGTGTTTTTGTTGCAAAAAAGAATACCATGAAAACATGTATTCTTATGGTGATCTCATGGTGATCTTCTCTTCACAGATCTGACTCTGGCTTAGTAGCTTCACTTGTCCGTCTCAAAAGATATATATTTATGTTTATGTTTTAAGTTTTTGTTGGCCATTCCAATCAAAGTCATAACATATTCATGGAAACAAGCAGGTGGCAGACCCTTCATCAGAAAGGTTACATAGTGGATCTTAAAAACAACAAGTCTACTCTGTCTGTACTGTAGAAGTTGAAGTATTTGAAATCTAAAGCAGTAAAAGATTTTGATGTGGATCTGCATGATGACACTTGACCTTAAGTACATTTTGTATAATTCTAGACAAGGACATTGTTTTGTTGAATCCACTTTGGCCCGTTTTAAATTTTTTGAATAGGCCAATTCGTCTGCCGTGTCACAAAAACAACAATCACTAAACGCCAGGGGGAAAGCAGACGGCAGTGAGTAAAAATTAATAAGCGTAAACAAAAGGTGTGTGGGCTGTGCAGCGGCTGTGTGTGAGCGGGGGTCAGTCATGCAAAGTACACAGCGCGCGCTCGCTCGCTCCGCGCTAATTTGGCCGCTCTGACAGATGACTGATGCATCCCACGGCACTCTGTAATTGGAGCATGTGTCCTCTTGTCGTCTCAGAGTGGAGGAAGTCAACTGGAACAAATGGAACAGCAACCTGGTCAAAATACAAATCAATGAGGACCCCGGACGGTACGACAGAGAGCGGGCCGCCAATTCACCGCCGCATAGAGGTAGGCCTACATTTAAGATGGAAATATTATAAAAAACAACATCAAGGGCAGCACAGTATAGGCCTGCAATTTCCTCATCATCTCCATCCACAAATCATACTCTTTCTACCAATATTGTTACTTTAGAACTACTCTTGAAGGTCATCACGTCCATATTTCATGACTGTGGGAGCCTGTTATATTATGAGTAAAATAACTATGGGCATTGAAGTAATATATTATAAAAGTAGAGCCTGAAAATGATGTAATGTATGTGATATACTGTGTATCTTTTTACAGTAACCATCTATTTAAACGTTAGATTCTCATATCCTGTTTGTCCACAGGGCGGAGCTGGAGAGTCTTATTTCGAGACCGGAGTTTGCGGACTTATCAGTCCACTGAGATGCTTCCAGTTTAGCACATCGGTGTTGGATATAGCTATAGAAGGCACTGAAACAATGTTTACTATAAGTTCACCAAAAACTCCTAATGAGTGAAAAGCCACTTCTTCTGATTTTGGATTTTCTGTAATATTCCTTATGTGGAGAACATTTCAGACTCTTCAACTCATTAACACAAAAATCTGAATAAACACAGGTTTGTGGTGTTTTTCAAAAGATGCTTCTTCCTCATCTTCACCTGAACAGGATGCACCCTGACCAAAGTCATACAGAGGTTATAGTTCATGACCCTGGCCTCCCCTCCATACCCGTGCCAGAAGAGGCGCAGCTTGTGCAGGTGTTGGTCTCCCTCCCACTGTGTGCCCTTTAAACTGAACCCATTTTCATTGCAGGCCAACGAGCCAAATCTATTGCAGCTCCTCTGTTCGGGCATGTGCCTTGCCTACAGTGTTACAGTGATAGTGTTTGTCACGGGAAGAGTCTGAATATTGTGTGATAATGTGTTTGATTATTAAAAGCTAGGATATATGAAAAAAACTAAAGAAACTAATGTGTTATTGTTGTAAATGTGGTTTATTTATAGTCTATGGTGGATACTTTTAGGTATAAAGTTAGTTAATGTTTACTGAGAGCGTCTTGTCTTTTCTGTAAACTTAGATCAGCTAGTTGACATTTCAAGCACTGACCACAGGTGTCCAGTCAGTCGGACCATGATGAAATGTAAATAATAATTAAAACAACAAACTGATATTTTGATTGCTGTACCTAAATATGTAGGCTTCAACATTTTAAACAGTCACTTATTTTGTTTGAAGTTTCAATGTGGGTAGATGGCTGCAGCAGTTTTTTTTTTGTTTTTTTTTTCAGAATGGACTCTCATTTCCAAGCATTTAAATCTCAGTTTTGGAGTCTCTCAACAATCTTTGTGAATGAAAATGTAACAATAATATGGTTATTTATTTAAATACCCTTTAACACTGACTATATGTATTAATTTAAACTGACACTTCTTGAAAGCATAAATTAGAACTTTATTTTATTACAATATTACAAAAAGAGTAGCACAACTCTCTCGCTCTTGCCTCTTTTCTGTTGTACAGAATGACACAAAGAAAGGCTTATGGACCTTCATCCACTTCACAGCAATAGTACAGGAAACAAAGAGGAAAATGTTTAAATAACAAGCAAAAAAATCAAGTATTATAAATAGTCACAACTGCAAAATGAAGCTTTTGAAACTGTTACAGCTCAGTAACTACACATTGCTAAAATATATAATTACAAAATATTACTCCTTTTCCTGCTTTTGGTAATAAAAGATCTAAGGAATTGCTCTAATGAACAAAACTTCATTAAATTAAAAAGACCAAAAGTAATTGATAAGTAAATTGCTGTTTCAATGTATCCTTACCATTTTCTTACTCACATTTACTATGATTTGGGGTTTTCCATTAAAACCATGCTTGTTCAAGAGGAAAGTCCAAGGACCAAACACTTAAGGCTTTTTCAGGGCTGTTAGGGAGTTAGGTGAACGAAACATGGGTATCCTTGTGTATCCTCACAAGCACACGCACACTCATTCTAATGGGTACCCGCATCATCAGGGCATTCACACTCACCCACAATCATTAAAGTTACAGTAGTCTAGATATAAGCCAGTGTAGAAGAAAATTAACAATGCATTTGCTGTTCACGTCACAACTTAAAAAGTCAGTCTGTGCGATCTTGCAAGTGATCAATTTGGTCTTTACAAACTGAAATCACATCATATCAGTAGCAACTACACATGACTGAATCAATAAACAAAGCCAGGGTCATTCTCTGCTTAAGCTAGGCGTTCTCCTCGCTAGAAGACACCAGTTGACACTATTAGAATTGCTCCGTTTCACAGCTGTGCCCGACTAGCTAGCCTGTCACCTGCCACATTCAAGTAAAACATTTTTCATGGTTGTAAAAACAATCTGAAAAGGAATCATACATATAATGGCACAACAGTGTATTTGCTAATCCATTTATGGAAAAAAAATAATAAAAAATCACCCTAGCTGGCAACACCCTTTAACCACCAATTGCAGCATTTTGCAGAATCAAGTGTAATATTCACACTTTGATCAACACTATGTACAAATCATCTGGTCACATGCTTCCTTCTGACAGTGAGGTGTCGTACTTCAACAGTCCTATTGTACAAATAAATAATTACATTTTTATTAAAACTAACTGTGTAAATGTACACAGATTCCTACTGTGTCGTGTGATATCAAATCAAAACAAAGATCGGTAACAGGCACACATTTAATGAGCTGATAGTCTGCAGGGTAAAAGCAAAATCAACAAAAAGGAATAGCAATTGATCACTTGCAAGATTCATTTTTAAATCTACTGATTTCATTAAATATAGTTTTCATTTCCCCTCTTTAGCATTAGCGATCGTTTGTTTAAGTCATCAAATTTTGTTTAATTCATGTGTTTCATTCCTTAAGACTAAACAAAGGGTGTTTAATAACTGTCATTGAGACAAGGCCATAGCTTATCTGTACCCTGGGTGCTGGATGAGAGCGGTCCTGCCATCCCCGACCTCTGGCCCTACCCTGCTCAGAGGGGGCCTGTGCATTTTACCCATCAGCCCTAGATTCTGATCGCGGAAGTAGGGCGTCTGGAAGTCCCCACCCAAGTAATCTGCCGTTTGCATCAGATTAGTGTGGGCCGAGGAGGAGGTGGAGCCCGTTCCTAGCCTGTAATGGGGAGCCCCAGGGGGGGCACAGTCTAGAGTGGTGCAGCCCACAGGGCCTGCTCCGTGGAATGGCATGGCTACGTCCTGAGAGCCCGAGCTGTCGCTGTTGGGGGTGGGGAGGATGCTGCTGTTCCAAACATGGGGCTGGAAGTAGCCGTTTGTGTAGTGGGCCATGGGGCCGGGCATCCCGTTACTGTTGACGGGAGGGGAGGGCGTGGGTCTGTCTATGGGGGGCTTCAGTTGGTAAGGCTGACCACCGCACACCTCATTCGAGTAGCCCATGCCCTTGAAGTGGAAGTTGGGGTCTCTAGGGGGCTGCTTGGCCAAGTGGGCCCCACCATTCTGCATGTGGCCCAAGTGACCTAAGTGATGCTGATTCCATGAGCGCATCTTCTGCTGCGTGTTGCCATGGTGCAGAGGCTGACTCTGTTGCGGGTGCAAAGGGTGGAGGTGTTGCTTGATGTCAGTGCGGTTGGAAGGCAAATGGTTCATAGCAGCTGCGCTGGGCGGAGCAGCACCCACTAGGGCAGTGGACTTCTCTGGGGGGGCGATGGTGCAGTTGGGTGGGGGAAATCCTGGGGTGCTGTGCATGGACACCCGAGAGCAAGCGCTGATGAGCAGATTCCGGCTGATGGGGCTGGGGTTGGCGATCTGACCCTCACACATGGAAGCAGCTCCTGAATGGTGAGCCCGAGCCTGACAAAACTGGTTAATCTGATGCACAATGGCACTCAGGTCAGGGTGGTGGCCCTGGTGAAGACCAGGGGCCATAGAGAGCGGAATGGTTGAGGTAGAGATAGTAACATTGGGTGGAGCATCACTGTCTGGCAGCGTCCGCCCCCCCGGTAACAGTGGGGGGGCCTGCTGCTGCTGTAGATGCGACTGGAGCATGAGCCCAGACGGGCCTTGTGGGTGACATGAGGCCGGGTGCTGGGCAGTGGCTCTGGGTGGTCCTTGAGGATGCAGGGCCATTGGCGGAGCGTGCCGAAGCATGTGACCCTGCTGCGGAGGGAGGGGCATCTGGAGGGACTGGGGCAGGTCCTGGGGCAGGGGCAGGTTATGGGGGGGTCTGGGGAGCGTGTGGGGTGTGGGGTGATGGTTTAAAGTGCTGTTCGGGCCCACTTGGTACGGTCCAGCGTGAGCGTTCATGTTGACATCCGGGTGCATGCGGGCGCGGCTTCCATCGTAGTCCTTAACGATGCCTTTGACGGGGGGTCCTTTGACGATGGCGAGGAGGCCGGCCTTGGCACTAGGCTGAGTGGAGGGGTAGGGGCTGTAGCGCTGGCCTGATGTGTCGAGCCCATTGACCGTGCGCCGGACGTGATTGCGCTGAGGGACTTTGATACTGTTGGGAAAGATCTTGATGGTGAGGGGGTTGTTGGCCACCTTCTTAGCATATGCATCCAATTCTGAAGGGGTAGGAAACGGAGTAGATCTCATCCTTTGTGTGGTGTCCCCTGTGAAAGAGACAGGACAGAGGTGAGACAGATAAAAACACATCAGAGGAGCAAATGGAGGTGGGTGGCCACTGAAAGCAATAGAAGATACATGTAAGGCACAAAGAAGCACTGAACGTTATCTCATATTCCTCATTTTCTCTTAAGATGAACGAGATAGGCATGCGTCACTTGGTTTCTATCCAAATTACATTCTGTGGTGACTTTTAAGGTCATGGACATTTGTTAGCCTGAAGAAAAGAAGAAACCAATAAAAACAAGTTAAAAATATAAATGCATTAAAAGGACTTGTTTGTGATTGAATAGTAAACATAGAAATGAGGCAGTAATGGTCCCTTGTGAATTTTTGGGGAAGGAAAAAAAAAAAAATGAAGCACTCCATGACAGCAGACAAGTAATCAGACGCACACATCATCTCCCAGGCCTCAGACATTTGTTCCACCTCCTAAACACGGCGCTAATTTAACAATGCCACAGTGACAATGTGAACAAGATGTGTTTGTGTATGTGTGAATGTGAGGCTGTTTGACGACATCATTCAGGTGTCTGCTAATGTGTTGGCGACGTGTGTGATATACCAGGCTGCACAGGGCACAGTTCCTTTTAGCATGGTTCCTTTTAGCATGGTTCCTTTTAGCACGGTTTCTTTATGATAGCGTGCTAACTCTCACTTCTTCAGGAACACAATACATGTAGTAATTGTTTTAGAGACTGCCAGACTGTTTCTAAGCCTTCACCAGACTGTCAGTTTGACCCACTTTGACCACCCTGATTAAATTCCCTCTCAGAGCAGGTAAAAAGATGTCATCTCTCCAGCACTTTGGCGATGGCGCTGCTGTCGAGTGAGCAATAACTGAACTGTCTGAATGTCTGGCAGAGGTCTGCGGTCTCCTGCTGCCGGAGCTGTTCTGCTTGCGCTCACAACAGGCCGAGCTGAGCTGTGAGTGCTGACATGGCGCACCACAAGTCGTGCCAACTGGCTAATTAATTCCTGCTTTATTTGTGCGAGGAAACAATGGGCAGAGATGTGCTGGGCCGAGCGGGTGGCACACAGGGGCTGTTGTGACTAAGTGTTGAGCTGCTGATGGCAGCCTCATTAATGCAGAGGTCTGGGCCAAAGACGCCATCACCCACACCTAATGTGTGTGGAGGAATAAACGCCGCTGTAAGCAAACAGATAACCCGACACTCGGACACAAGCCCACAGACCTGCTGAGGATGGACCTCTCAGCTCAGGTCATTATTAATGATCTTCACTTTCACATGACAGTTATAGGGACAAACAACTGATGCTGTTTTTTGTTTATCAATTAATACTTATTTAAATTAAGTGGATGAAAGATCAGTCAAATGAACCTTAACAAGTAGGAAAGTTAATACATATCAAACACAAACATTTACACTTCAGTTCTTCCTAAAATACTTTTTATCTCATTATCTGGGTAGCAGCAGGATACAGAGTGACAAACAACAAAGCTACTACAGGCCTACTTGCTGTTCAATCTCTGTACTGTCTCTGTAAGTCTACAAACAATAATATAACAAGAACTTTAGGATGAAGGTTTTATTACAACATCAAAGAGTTGCAGTAAATCAGTATTTTACTGTTTGGTGTAGCTCTCAACCACTGGGTGTTAATTAGGACTTCTATAGGAGTTGAGAATTAGCACTAGCTATACACTCTGTATGTGTGGCATCAGCTCCATGCTCTGCTTGTAACTATGTGACTGCATTTCCCTGTCAAAGAAATAAAAATATGAAGTATCCAAGAGTATAGCTTGTTAGCATTTTAACCTGCACCTAAAACCTGGATTATCTGAAAAGCTTACAGCATCAAGGAGAGGTTAATCAGGATACGAGTGAAATTTGTAGGCGGCTGCTGGTGGCTACGGGCGTATCATCTCTCAGATCTCCAGCTAAGCGTGTTCCCAGGGAGAGAGCGGGGAAAGAGGCCAGTCTGGCCATGTGTTAATTACCCTGCTGCTAGCTAGCTAGCTGCAGCACAAGTGCACAGTCAGCAGGCGCTAATTAGGGCTTCTCTTATTCAAACTACTGTTTTTATTGAACAAGGTTAAAGTGGCAGGGGGCAGGGGCTCATGCTGCTATAAAATGCGATTTTCACACAAGAGCAGGAAATTAGGTCTAAAGCTTTAGCATCAAATTTGACATATGAATCCACTTTCCCACAACCAGCACATTTAGAGTTCCTGAACAGAGCTGAACCACAGGGCCTTTAAAATGAAAAATATTATAAAGACTGCAGAAGATGGCTGCTTTTGATCTCAGTGTGAACAGTGATGTGAAATCAGTCTGGCTGCAGTCACTGTTGGTTCTGTAGATGAGAAGTGAATGCTAAGGTCACTTCCTGGTACTTGAGTCATTCCGCCTGGAGGTTTTTAGCGGCCTTGTGTTTCTCTGTGCACCTGAACTCTTCCTCCAACAGTTCCAATATTTCACAGTCAGTAAAGCAGTGATTCCTCCTGCAGCTTTGGCCTTGACAGCAGTCTGCAGCGTCTCACTTTAAAATGACTCCCATCTTCAGGTCTTGGGACAGTAGGGAAGGAGGAAGGAAGGAAGGAACACATTAAAGGTGCACTACGAAACTTCTTGTGATTGCTTTCCCTAAAATGTTCCACAGTACTGAACAAACCTATCTCTATGGAGATACGCCAGTGATGTTACCAGGTCAAGTTACGGGTCAGATCTGCGGAGAAGCGACCCCGCTCAAAGTAATAATACATGTTTTTTCAGGGTATTTTTGAGGAATAAAAATGCAAAAGAGACAAGTTATACTGACTCTAACCAATACTGAGAATTGTTCAAGGGAAAGGAGCCTTTGAATCTAAGACTAGGTATATTTCATGTAATTACATAAAATCTGTTTTGCATCATACCATCAGTCGCTTTTTCTGCGAGCTAGCTTATAAACGCATTACTTGAATAATTAGGAAGCTTGGAAAGCATTAGGTGAGTGTGGAATAACTAAATAACGATTTTGAGAGAAAAACAGCGCCTTTAATGATATTATGAGAATCAGAGGAAAAACGGATTGAAATTGATTGATCATGTCACACTCATTTGCTTTTGCTGCTGGTCCCATCAGCGGAGCAGATTATTGGTAGTACTTTAGTATTGTTCGTACTGGAGAAAACTGCACTATGGTTGCACTATGTCAGTAGCTTGCACGGGCTGAGGCAACAGACGCGGCTCTTAGCAGACTCCCATGCGCTCGCTGATCTCCTGGGGGCTGGCTGATTACTGTGATTCAGAAATTACAGTCTTGATGAGCTGGAGCATTTTTACAAAAAAAGAAAGGAAAACTGCTGCAGAAATGGGTCAGGTTAGGACTGCATTTCCTGATGAAGCAGGCAGGGCAAAGGACAGTTTTAGGAACTGAATACACCAAACTTAGCATAGTCTTTATACAGTATGATTTTAATTACTGATACTTTGATGTCATCAAAATTCCCTGGGGGTGTGATGCTAACTGTAGGCACTGCTCTGCAAGAATCTGAGGCTTGTTAGACTTTAATCTGATTTTTATTTTAACAGAATCTGGCAAGAAAGAACTAACTTAGTTGGAACTACAACAGGTGAGCTGATCTGTGCTTGTAAACAAGTCCCTCTCAGATAACATACAGTCGCAAGCATTAGCTAGCAACAGTTTTTCAGTTTTTCACTCTCACCTTTTTGTTGTCCTAAACAGAACCTTGAAGGCTTGTATTGATCACAGGCCGCTGAAAATGTGGTTTAAATCTATTTACGTTTTTTTTAGGTTTTCAGACAATCTTAAAACTTATATATGTATTATGCCTCCATGGTAACTCGTATTCATTTATATTTAAATGCTGAATTATTTTAAAGTAAGCAAGCACGTTCTCAATTTTATTCTCTGAGGATATTGCATAATGTATAAACATAAGTTGGTTATACTCTATCTTGTCCAGCTGAGCAAGCCTTCAGGCAAAATAGAAACAATCCAATAATGAAGTGCATTTATGGAATACAGGAGCAACAGGTCTGCATCTTTGTCCATAGAGCAAAATGAAAAACTTAAAATTAAACTAAAGTTAAATATCTAAAGCAGGTTAAAATAAATGGCATATACTGGTGTTAGTTTGTCAGCCTTGCAAATCAACTCAGGCCAACTGTGAGCTGTGTGTTGGACCCGGACAGCAGATTGTGTCTTAAAATCGCTTGATGTTGGATTTCAGCAGGGCAAAAAAACTCCTCTACAATCTGTCAGAGTCTCACAGTATTTGACTTTTCCTGAGTGAAAGGAGGCCAAAATGCTCCAATCACAAAAGCTGGCACTACTGCAGTTTTTAGTCCAAGAGAATGGTACTCCTCTGTCTCCCAGACTGCAGAGGTGGGGACTGAAACAAGGTGGCCAAGTTTAGCTATAGATTAATGATACAGCTAACCCTAATTTACAGTGAATGCAGGCCAGACATCTGGGGCTGTAACAATATTTCTGATTTCTGACTGTAATACAGGGCTGAAGGAATGAATGTGACTGACATTCACATTTGCTCAATCACCATGTTAAACTTGGGACTAAACCCCAAACTAAACCCAGGACTAGACCAGGGATAGGCTGAACTAGACCAAGTCTGCAATTTGCACTCAAACTGGGCTAAATGGACAAGTATGAACACACCAATAAGCAGGAACAGGTTGCATTTGATGGTAATATTTCATATGGATGGCAGGGGCCTATATACATTTAGTTTTTTAATAGAAATATCCAAACAGAAAATCCACAAATGTCTGTATCATTATTTTTAGAGATTAGGTTCATACATTTCCAATATTAATCTTATGGCTTCAAGTCCTTTTAGCTGTCAATAGTCATGTCTTTGGTGCAGAATAATGCTACCACTTTCTGAAGCTATTGTAAAAATATAATCTAACTTTTGCTAATTTGTGCTGTCAGAAAAGACATCGAACTTTGTACCAGTTTTTGTGGATAGGCCTAGCAGTTAAAAAATATATTAACCAGGTCAACAAATCAGCAAATTCCAGTCTGTCCAGTTCCAGTCCAATCAGCAAAGTCTGACCTGTCTTGAGCTCCATTTTAAACTATAGGGATTCTTGAATGCAAACCCAAACTTTTGTGCAGTTCAATGTTTTGAGTGGGACTTTGGGGCTAGAGTACTTACATTTCTGAAGTCCAGTGTTCATCTGCGTGTGGGGGAGAAGCTGGAGGGGGAGGTCACCTGGCCCTGGCAGACAGGCCAGCATTTCACAGCCACACTAATGCAACATGGGCCACGCACTGCTCCTCACACTGTAGACAGAAAGAGAGAAGAAGAGAGAGAGAAGAAGAGAGAGAGGGGGTCAGTACACCAGGACACTCATGGTGGGTTTTCATCGTTCTTGGGGACATTTCATCGACTTGCATTACTTTTCTGGAGACTGATCGTAACCTTAACACTGGATACAACTGCAAGTCAGGTCCCACAAGACTAAATAAGTCATTATAATCTAAGCAAGAAGTCTATTTTCCCAGACAACGTGGCGGTCTGGAGGAGTGTTTCATTGCATGAAGCCACAAGAAACTACATTGCTTTGGTCAAATACACACTGCAATTGTCAAAGTTGGTGTAACAGGAAATCTGCAAGTAACCCAAAACATGCTACATAGGTCTCCAGGAAGAAAAGCTGATAGCTGATAGCTAAGGTCAATTAAATACAAAGGTGGACTACAGGTGGAAATTAGCACTGGTGCTACAATCTGGTACAATGCATCTCTCCTGTTAAGTTTAATGTATATTGTGCACTGTCCCTGTCTCATTCATTAAATAAATAACAGTAAGACGTAAAGGCCAGAGTAAAGGCTGTACCTGATTACTATTCTTTTAAAATTTATTTAAAATCACAACTAGTTAATTTTAAATGGTTTGTAGTGGTCGAAAGTTATTCTTCACTTATCTGATATCCTAAGTATTCACCACAATTCATTTATAAGTGCTTTTCACAACTTTTTGAGGCCAGAGTTTTGCTGTCATGGTGATGCTAACAACAACTAGCATGCTAACCATGTGCTTCCTGATTCTCTGACTCTTTATAATTAGATGGACTTTGGACTTATTTTGACCTCAAGGGCTGCTTTTACAAAATATATGTATTGGGACAAGAATTTTGCTCAAATACATGGTAAGAAATTGGGTACAGACCCTTTAACCAAAGTCACTACTTAAAGTTTAGTAACCAAACCCATTTAAACCCACATTTTAAATTTAAACCATGTTGCTGATTTGAGTCATGGGGATCTGATGTGAGTGTGTACAGATTTTAGTCCCCACAGTGTGATAAATACCCACCCACAGCCCCACATCTCTGCAGACCTGGGGCTCAGGGAGACACAGTTACTTTCAATTAGAATCTGATTCACACCTGCAGCATTGGGTTAGGTGACATTTGATGCCAATAACAACTTCAATTAAACATCAAAGTGCTGCAGTGAAGCGGGCAGAGGGAGAGAGGGGCCCTGGGGCTTAAATCCACTGCATGTTTGAGCAACCGGACCCCAGCCTGCTCTGAGCTCTCACCAGACCGAGGCGGAGGAAATTAATGACTCCTGTACACTGGCAAAGAACACACTCCAGAGGCAGCGCTGACAAGTTAGTGTGGCCCTGATCGATACTGCAGCTCTCCACACCACAAACAGCCCTCTATTTGAGCATATTCAACAATGTAGCCCGCTACACGAGCTACAGAGAAGTGAGTACAGCCGCGGCCCTTTGTGCAGTCACCTGATGTAATAGAAAGGCAGAAATGTTAGAGACGCTCCACTTGGCTTTGCGTCGTCTTCCAAACACCACAGATGCTTAATCAGCACTGAGGATCAGTCAGGAGCAAATTAAGTCTACAGTGACTGTGCCCTCCCCCTCTGCAGCATGGCATCACAAGTGTGCACAGACAAACAGCGTCTATGAGAGGCAATTACCCACACAACAACCTTGGCATGAATGTCTGCCGCAGGGTGAAGGCTTAAAAGTGTCTCGCCCCCCACGGGGAAACAGAGACAAGTGCAGGAAAGAGTGACAAAGTGAAAGAGAAAGGTGCAGTGGCAGAGGGAGAGCAGACGGGAGCTTTGGGCTGGGAGGGGGCTCAACCTGCTTTAAAAAGCAGAAGCTCAAAAAGGTCAGGATGACAGCTCATTTAAATCCTCCCAGCGAGAAAAGAAAAAACAAGGCCTAATGAAGCTGCCACTTCTACAGCGGTACCGGGAGCGCTGCACCTTAGGGTGCTGCAGGGGCTGGTGGCAGGGGGAGAGGGGGAAAGGCAACAGACAGACAGTGGGGGCCAGAGAAGGAGACACACCTGGATTTGGGCCTGATCTAGAGCTAATGCTGCGTCATGGATTCTGTTGCCCCTTCCTCCTTCTCACTTTGGCCGCACTCTGATTTATAACGTGGACCGCCATATGGCAGCAATCCCTGCCCTCCATTTAATGTGTCACCATGCATTATCTTTAATTGGCCTGATATGTTATTCTTTTGCTGGGCCTTGGAAGGATTTTAGGTACACAGCGCCTTGATGTCAGCAGGCGAGATTTTCTACTTGCTCTCATTTATCAGAATGCCAAGATTTCACAGGAAGATAACAGAAATCACTCTGACAACAGGCAGGTTTGGGGCAGAAGAAAAACTAAATATCAAATACAAATGTGTCTTTGCTTGAGGTTTCAAAAGCGAAGCGGTGACAGGAGAGTAAAATGGTGCGGGGGAAAAGTGAAAACAGCAGCATATAAAGTGTCAGCGGGTTTGTTCTAAGACGACTCACATCAACAGCTTTGGGCGAAGAGGCGCCTACAGGCCGTGCCCCCCACCCACTGTACCCCCCGCAACCACCCGCACCCCCCGCAGCACCCTGAATGTCAGAAACGCATGCAGTGGGGAGTGCGGAGACAAAGGTCAGCGTATGGTAATGCCCCAGCTGACACTCTGCTTTACAGCACTGAGCGGAGGAGACACGCACACACACAAACACACACACGCACACACACACCCCACTGTCTGAGCCCAGTCTGTCCGCACCTGACCACTGCTCTATAAACAGACACATGTCGCAGTCATTATAGTTTCAACATCAATTCATTTGTCTCATACACCAAAGAGAAATGTCACCTTTCATAAACCAGGTGACCTTTGACTTTTTTTAATAGTGCCTTCTTCAGTTTTATAGATGTCAGTTAGTCACATGAATGGGTTTTAACTACTTTATAGAGCTTCTAAATCTTTAAGGACCACTTTGAACAGTAAGGTAACACAGTAACCAAGAGCAGCAAGAATGCAGAATTAAACTTTTTTATTGAAAATACTATTCATACTAAACAAGCATACTTTAAGTTTTTCAAAATCATGCAAAACTGTGTACAAAACACAAAGACATGCTCAGTAGTTAATCTTATAACTAGACAATGCGGACTGAGATCCTGGTTCTGGATCTGGAGGTCACTCACTGTTCCTGATTGACCCAGATTGGGTTGATGGTTAAATGTAGAAAAGTGTCTATTAAATACAAGCCTACACCCCTTTAGCAGAAACCGCAATAGAGATAAAATGATAAGAACAACAGCAGCAATGCAAAGAAGCAAGCAAACCAAAACCACAATTTTAAGTTTTGAAACTAGATGACTGAGAACTTTAATATTTTACCAACTGCATCCTTCCTTAATTATTCAGATACTCTAATAATTGTGATTATTTAAGTTTAAATCCATTAAATCCATTCTGTACTTCAAAATAGTAAGCCTAAAAGTGTTTTTTTTTTTATCTGCTTTGTTTGAGTCAATAACTTTTTCACAAAGACAGATTGAGCACATAGAGCTGGTCACATAGAGAAATGGTATTTTGGTGTAAAAGAAAGCACATTTCAGATTTCACTGTTGTTTGCTGCACAGTATAACACAATCAAAATCGCAATTTGAGTCGGCAACTTGAACAAAGTTGCTGTGTGTTCATCAGTCCTTATTCCAGTCTTTTCCTCAAAAGACATTTTTGAAAGGAGCACACTGAATAAAATCCTACTTTTTATACATAAATCACAAACCACAATGCCAATACTTGTCAAAATTATTATTTTAATTTTTTTAAAAGGTACACTACGTAACTTTTTGGTTGGTAGTCACCTGCTTTTTTCTATGCATACGTTACTGCTCTGCCTAGAATGTTCCACAGTATGACATTACAGCAGCATGTAAACAGCAGTTTACATGTATTCAATTACAGGTGGTTTTATACCTCAAAAATATCTAGAAAAACATTCTGACTGTGAGCAGGTTTGCCTCTCCATGAACATAGAAATGTTTAATGCAACATTCTAGACAAAGCATTAACATCTCCATGAAGAATAACATTTAATGGACCCTCTACCAGAAATTTACATAATGTACCTTTAAGCTGTCAAGCCTTATTGTCAAGAGAATTACCACAAACATTTATAAACACAATCATGACATTAAAATTTGATATTGTGATTCATGACAACTCTAATAAAGTCCTAAGAAAGGAAAGACCAACTATAACTCCTGGATGTCAGCCTGGGTTACCATCTGACAGTGACAGAGCAGTGCATCTCTTCTGAATGGAGGGATTGACTCATGTGCTTTGGATAGAAAAGAAGCCCACTGGCCCAGCTCCCCATGTCCGCAGTGGAAACAGTGTCATGTCTGTTTTGGGATGGGGGGCTACCCTGACCCAGCTGGGCCTTCAGTGGATCTAAGCCAGTGTCTACCACACTATCAGCCCAGTACAGACAGACGCTCCAAGCTCTTCTAAGTATTATACCCACTCCCTTCGTGACTAGGCAAGTATCCACCAGCTACTTATATAGAGCTCCAATAAAAAGTGTGCCAATGACTGCAGTGCGTTTCATTATGGACAAATAAAAGCTCGCTGACAAAAGCAGGACTGGATGCGCATGGCTTGTGTCATGTGTCAAATTGCTCCCATAAAAGCTGACCTATATTTTTCCCTTTTCATTCCTCCGAGAGCAAAATGGGAAAGAGGGATGCAGAGGAAGCCATTAACCAAATTACACATGCTCAGTGCTGTGTCTTTTGATCAATATCGTAAGCTATGATCAGCATTCATTGGGAACATTTTTGCATCAGGCTAATTGCATTTGAGATTATTGGTTAAAATATTCAGTGGTGGTAATGTGGGAAAAAAATGGGAGGAGGAGGACACACTGAAAATAAGCTCATTAGGAGATGATGTATGGGAATATAGAGCAACAACAACAATGGAAAGGGTAAAATCCAAGGTGATAGAATGCGGC